CATAAATAGCCATTGAGCTTGAAATCAGTCACTTTGAGTCGAATTGAAAATTCTGGTAGTTTGAATGACTTGATTGGGAAGTGACCTTTTTTCGTCTTCTTTGAAGACTGGAATCTTTTGTTGCAAATTTGCCCTAACTGGACAAAGTGGTCGTCTCGTGAAATGTGTGACGTGTGGACCCATCTCAAAACATACAGCTTTTAACTTTTTTTTTTTTTCTTTGAACCGAAACTCGTGGATTATAACTTGGGAAACTTGTATATTAGGGACTGAGATACAAATTCAGGCGCAATGTCGGAATTGTCTTGTTCCACTATTAGTGTTCTACATTTTATATGTATCTCCCACATTAATGATATGATATGATTGGCAAAAAAATACTAAAAAGAAAAATAGTTTAATTTGACAAGAAGAAATCAATAAATATGCAAAGTCAATTGTATAATGATCGTTGTGATTTAAAGGAAAAAAAGCCTAAGAATCTACCGTTTCAACAAAATTAATACCCAAACCGAATTTGCACTTTCAGCTATGATTGCTATGGAAATTGGAAGGTGCGTGTATCGGAATTAGTAATTTAAGATCCATGAATCGATCTTTAGAGGTTGCCTTTGTAAAAATTCTCCCATAAGAAGGGGAAAAAAGAAAAAAAAGAAAAAAAGAAAAACAAAACAAGAAAATTCCAAATCCCATTTGACTCCAACTCAGAACTAAGCAATCCAGACTGATACACAACTTTATTTCAAAATCACATCATATCTTAAACCTAGCACAACAGAAACAGAACTTATTGCATCATACACACACACACAAAAGCAACAGACCTTATTAAAATTGACGCACCACATAAGAGAAAGCAAACTACTTTATGCATCAGTTTCCGAAATCTTTGTATACCCTTCATTGCTCAGCTAATTATTAATCAAGCTGAAGCAGCATAATCTCTGCAAGCTTGTCCACTGCACCTGAGATACGAAGCATGTCATGGGAATGTTGGAAAATTGAAATCTTCAGCAGATCCAGATCAAGTTTCATCTCTTCAGCAGTAGCTACAATTTCCTCAGTCACCTCTCCATCACGGCGCACCTCCACAGTTTTGGCTTCCATCATTTCCACCAGAGTCTTCTTTGAACAAAATAATTAAAAACCATATGAATCAGTTAATTTGTTAAGATATATTAAAAATTAGATGGGATTTCTTGAGTAAATGGAGGTGTATATATATATATATATACCTTGACCATGCGCCTCAATATCCCTATATCCTTTCTTCCACGGCCCTTACAAGCTTTCATCGCCACATTGAAGTTGGTGCGGAAGCGGAGAGCAGAGTTGTGAGGCTTTTTCTTGCTTGCTTTCTTTCCACCATATGAACTGCACTATGCACAACAGAGTTCAAAAACCAATATATATATATATATATACATATATATAAAGATTAGGATGAGTTCAAGGGAGATTAGCCGAGTCAGTTACTAACTCAATTACTGAATGACTGAAAACCACCTTTCATGAACGTATTACGGAACAGACGAACATGAAGTGAATTGTTACAAAAAAAAAAAAAAATTGTAAGAAACGTTAAAATTTAATTTGATGAGAGGTAGCATACCTAGAACCTTGTTGGTGATTTTTTTGTTGAATGATCTTCTCCTCCATATCTGTAGCCTTAAGTTTCCTGTGCAGAAATAGAGGAAAAGGGAAGGGATGAGAGAAAAAGATTGCAAAAATGGAATGATGGCTTCTTTTTCCTGGTATTTAAAGAGAGCTGGCGTCTAGGGAAACAAGGTATGAGAGTGTGTATGAGAGAGAGAGAGAGAGAGTAGTGTGGACGACTTCCACGCGGAAAGGCATTTTGGACGTATTACTAATACTTGATAATATTGGGGTACTTACAAAACAAAATAAAAATCCTCTTTCCTCGGCTTTAACTTTTAAAGAAAATTCATTTTTGTAGTTTATAAAAAATAACGTATAAATTACTCTGTGACGTACTCTCCATAGAATGCAAGCCCATATCCTGTGACACAAAGATAAGAAATAAATAATAATAAAAATAATAAAAATAAGATCAAAATTTGAAGGACAGTTGATGTAATTGGGATTGATATCTATCAGGTACAGAAAGACATGGAAAATTAAGATCAAGTAATTGGGGGGTATGCGATGTTGTAAAAGAAGGGTGGGGAAGAGAGAGGTTTGCACGACTAATTAATAGATCTCATAAATCATTAGTTGGCTCATGTAGATTGTTAATTTAGAGATTTGATATGATGTTTTTAAAATATATTTATCATGCAACAAATGAGATATAGAATGCACTTGTCAAGCATAGAATTTTTTTAGAAAAGTCTTTTGTTATTTTTAACTCTATTCCTGGCTTTTGTTCTTTTGCTATGCCCATGATCAAATTGAGTCTGTTGTGTATATATGGAATATATTTTGTAAACGTTAATTAGCTTAATTCTCCATTCGCACAAAGAAATGTTAAAAAAAGAGGGAGAGAGAGGGGTATGTGATGTTAAATAAGAAAGAAGGGGAGAGAAAGAGGGGGCATGTGATCTGTGATGTTAGGTTAAAAAAAGGACGAGAGAGAGAGAGAGAGAGGCATGTCACATTGAAACAGAAAAGTAGGGTAAGGGAGTCGGTGAGTTGGGAGGGAGAGAGAGATAAGTGATTGTGATGTGTGATGTTAAAAAAGGAGAGAGAGGGGAGCACCAAACAGGGCAATCTAGACCACTTTCACGCGGAGAGAATTTTTCAATGTACTACCATATAATAGAATTTTAGTGGTAGGGTTCATTTTTTTAACATTAAGAAGTTTTTTATTTAATAATTTTTATTTTTTATTTTAACATCATTTAAATTATAAAATAAGTGTTTTTATTAAAAAAATGTGTAAATTACTCTGTGGCTCTCCATGTGTGTTTTTAAGAATGCAAGCCATTGTGCAACATAAATATTACAAACAAAAAAATTAGGATCAAAATTGTAAGTAGGGTTGCAGTATTTGGGATTTGATTTATTTGAGGTTAACAAAAGATATGGAAAATTAAGATAGACCGTATGGATTGACACGTGGCATGCCTCGACTATAGTAGGTGGACCAAAACTAAAGGTAAGGATACCCCCTAATAGGATTCGCTTGAACAAAAGCCTCATCCGACCAAACTCGACGTTTTGAGTCTTCGTCTCAAGTTTTTAAATGTTTAAATTTGTTGAATAAGGTTTTGAGTTCTACTGACATTTTGAAATTTTCATTCTTTTTTTTCTAAAATTGTACATTATTCAAAAAAAGAAAAAAGAAAAGCCTCATCCAACCACCTGGAAAATGCAGGCAATAATTTCAATGTTTTGTTTTACATGCACGCGGAAATTCAATTTGATAATAAATATGTTCCAGAATCCGACGAGAATATTGGACTCACTCCTGGTTTTCTTAATTAATCCAAATGATGTATCTTTATGGAATTTTTTAACTTTTGTCGTAGAGAGAGGTTAAGATTAAGGGCGTAATTATTATTTTTTATTATTAATTTATTTTTAAAAATAAAAATTAATTTAAATTTTATTAATTGTATGTAATAATTAAATCATTTTATGTGATATTAATTTTAAAAATAAAATTTATTTTTATAATTTTTATATAAATAAAAAATAAAAAAATATAATAAATGCATTTTAATTAAACCACAAATTAAAAAGGCCTTATCTTTATTTTGTACCTTCTAGACTTTCGTTTTTTTTTAAAAAAGGAGAAATTATGGTTAGGGTATTTTTGACTCAATTTTTACATATTTTGAGATTAATTTCTTTTTTAACAATTATTGAGTCACACCCTCGTATCAATTTGGTGTATTTAAAATAATTAATTCTCTTACATATTAGCGTTAAAATTTGCACTATAAATTTAATATAAGAAACAGCACTTATTTATTAGTATATGAAACTCTTGAAATTGCTTCTTAAACACTTTTAATACTCATGCAAACTTATTAAAAAAAATAATATGTCCTCATGTAAACGGATAAATTTTAAGAGTTTAAAGGTAATCTTAGATAATATCTTATATAAAGAATTGCAATCTAAAATTACATAAAGAAAATCAGAGCAATAATTGAAATGAATATTCTTTAGTAAGGGATGTGGTTATAGCCACACAAATTATTTAATTTTTATCTTAGTTTGGTTATTAAAAACAGTTAATAATTGTACAAAAAAAAGTTAATAACTAATAAAGTAATTAATATTTATTATTTAATAAACTAAAATTAACTTATAAATAGATATTTTAAAATATTATAATTAATTATTTAAAAAATATAAATTAATAAAATATTAGAAAATTATGTAATTATAATAAATTAATAGGTAATGATAGCCACAACCTTTAACTTAGTGGTGCATTTTTCATCCCTCTGCTTATTCTGTGAGACATGGAGACTTCTGCGGTACGTCAACCTCCTTACCTTGTTTCAAAGAAAAATGCTCAAACTGTGATGTAAGTGAGACAATCCATGTGGCTTGTGAACCCACAACAAAAATTTCATCATTTTCCTGCCTTTTGTTCTCCTCTTCCCGCCAATGTGCTTTACTACTGCAAACCCTAATTGACATCAGACTAGGAACTATTTCTCAATTTCCAAGAATCCTTCTTAAGATTGCTCCATTCTAGAAACTTATAAAGGAAGAAAGAAGAATTCTTTAGATTTTATGCTCCGAATTGAGTTTTAAAATGTTAATCAATTTGTTCTTTTCTTAATAGATTTTATGCTAAAAGCAACCAAAGTTCTCTCCCCCCCCCCCCTTTTTGTAATAATAGAGAAATAAATAGATAATTAATGAGTTACAATAGTTTTGAAACTGTTTTCTCAATGCATATATAGCATACAAGTACAAAATATAATTAAGTTCATCAGCAAGAAAAACCTCAAAGACAACAAAAGATGAATCTGACTTAGCTTAATTAACTCCAAGTTTAGCCGAAGAATAATCAGCAGTAACATTTGGCATCTCGCAAAACATAGTGGACCTCCACCTCAGAAAACTGGCCACCAACATCCTACAACAAAGTTGTCCTTTTTTTTTTTCTTTTTTTTTTCTTTTTTGGTTTTTTGGGTCAAAGTTGTCATGTTTGTTTGCATGTTAGTCTTTAACAAGTCAACTCTTGGTCCCCCTATGTTGCTGGTACGTACACTAATATATTTTGATTTGATATATCAGTTAGACCACTTCTATTTGAAGACTTTAATCTTCAAGTATCAAAACTAAGAATCTAACATGGGTATTTAATTTTCCAAAAACCATATCCCATGTTTTGAACTTGGTATGGTTTTAATGTGAACCTATTGAGCAAGTTTTTTTAGATGAATCAAAATGGTTTATTATGATAAGGAGTATAAAGGGTACTATATCCATAATCTCAAGTATGCTTTACAAAAGGAACACCTATGAAGATATTCTAACAACAGTAAGGAGGACTTATAGTATGGATGACAAGTCTAAACTTTAGTAATTTCTTGAACACATAAATTAAGG